CATCCCTGTAATTCAGGGCTCAGCCTTTGGGGACTGATCGCCCCAAGCCTGTCGGCATGACAAGGAAATCTCTCTCTACTCTCTGATACTGCCTGATGTTGCTGGGAAATTGCCATATCCATATAACTTCTGACTAGACCCCCAAATTGTGTATAATTTTATTGGGGTGATGGGACCAAGAAGAGTGCCGATGTATTAAGATAGGCAAATGAATTCGAGCCCTACATCTTGACGGCCCCAGGTGGTGATTTAATGCGTAAGTTCACGCCGAGGGGAGAAAATCAGAAAACAACCGTCCGGGGGTTATTTATTGTACGTTTGAAGGCAGGGTCTCAAAGAAACAACTGGTTGTCAAAACAGAGAGTGGGAATCTGGAGCAGGGAGCTGTTGGCATTGCAGTTTGGGGTGTAAGGCCTCGGGCTTCTAGAATTTGCCGTCATGAGGTACATGTGTTCTTTGAAAAATATATAATGCGACAAGAAGTTTGTAATTTCCTAAATAAGGAGACCTTCTGCCTGCCAGCCTTCAAGTTCACACAGAGCATTCATTAGGGCACAGCTTTATGGTAATGATGAAAAGAAAATGCCATTACTGTCACAGTGAAACAACGCCTGACAGCCCCGAGTGGTGTGATTTATTCAGGGAAGGCAAAGTCGGCTGAGCGAGAACCAAAGCCTCTTTGGTGGGTTCTCTTTACCATAAATTCACGGGCATCTGGCTGGTCTGTGGATGAGTGGCGCTGGCTGCAGAGAGCGTTCTGGAAGGACAGTGCAGCATGCTGTGTGAGCCCATCTGCCACGCCCAGGGTGCCAGTCAGCTAACTCACACGTCTGTGAGAATGCACTGGATGTCAGCTGTGCCCGACGGAGATACTTACTGCCCCGAGAGTCCACCTGCTTGGGGTGGGTGGGGGCGCTTGACCTCCAGCCAGTAGGCTTCAGTGGAAGTGATCCGTGACCCTTCTGAGCCAAAGTGTGGGCCAGAGTCCTGGCAGCTGGACGCGGGTGGGGCCTCGCCAGTGGTCAGCGGCGGCCTGGGGTCTGGCCTGGGGGACCCTTCACAATTTTCTGTCTGGTGGTGTCACCCATGGGCCCCCGAGAGTGGATTTGAGGGGGCTGATGGCGCAAGGGGCTGTGTCTTGGGGTGGACAGGCACGCTCTGGATGAAAGCCCCCCCACAAGATGGCGGCGGTGTGGTAGGGGACGGGCGATTTGGGGGGTTACATCTCCAACCCCTGCCGGCGCCTTGCACAGAGGGTTTGTGGGGCTGAGGCTGGGGGACCCCGTCACGGCCTCAGGCTGGGCGGGTTCATGCCCGGGGACGTGTCAAAGATTTTTTTTATGTATTCATGCACACAGAGCTGGGGTGCAGGCCAGAGGTGCAGGGTGAGAGGACGCCCCAGAGACAGAGTAGGGAGCAGAACAGTGGGTCCCCTAAACCTACTGCTGAGGGGGCAGCAGGAAGACGGGAGGGGTCTGCTGTGCCCAGGGTCACTCTCTGGCCGGGGGGTCCGTGGGCCATGGCGGCTGGGACGGCTCACAGGCTGGGACTGACCCTGCGCCCCGGGGGGGGGGCCCTCTGGGAACTTTTTAGACCGCAGCCCCCCGCGGCCCTCAGCCCCGGCTCCGGGACTACAGGACCTGCCCCCCCGGACTGGCCCCCCCATGGAGCCCCAGCGCGGGGCGGGTCTGGGCTCTGCACACATCCCAGGGCGGCTGGGCGCACGCAGGTCCATAGCACGTGGCCTCGTCCGTGGAGCGGATCGTGGCTGGAAAGTCCCGGGGCGCACATGAAAAGCAGAGCTGCTTCGTGTCCAGGCAGCACAGGCCGCGTCCCAGCCGGCCGTGTCCATGGTGAGCTGGTCACCTGCCGCCTCTTCTCTGGGGACAGTCGCCCTGGACGTGGACACAGGAGGCCAGGCCAGCTCAGAGGCCTCGGCTGAGCCCTGAGCGGGCTGCACAGGCCTGGGCCCCAGCCGTCCCCCTCCAGAGGCACAGGGAAGGGCCAGGGCCCCCCAGCACCCCTAGGGAGGCCCGGGGCCGTCTCCCACGCCCCACCCCAGCCCCCACCGGGCCTCCCCCGCTGAGTGTCCAGTGTCCAAGCTCCCAGGTGCCAGCTGGTTTACTGAGCCCCCAGCCCCGAGGGGGCCCCTCCCACACCTGCATCCTGTTCTGGCTCAGCAGGTCTCCCCAGACCCAAGGATTTGCATTGCCAGCGAGCCCAGGAGTCACAGCTGCCCCCAGGAGCACTCTGAGGAGGGGGTGCCCCAAAGGGCGCCCCCAGCCCGGGGCCCCTGCTCCCCGATGGCCATCAGCTCAGCGCACCGTTAGCCCCTGGCGCCAAGACAGATCCCCCGGGAAACCCCACCCAGGGGCCTGGGCTGGCAGGCGGAGGCGGGGAGGTGGGGGGCCCCGGGTGACCTCCTGGCCCCACAGACCACAGACCGGAGGGAGCCTCCTCCGGACCCGGGCCCCCTCCCCGCTCTCCTCACTCTGCCCACCCACCTGGCTGCAGGCGCTGTTTGGGGGCGGGGAGAGCGGAGCCACGCCTCCCGGGGGACCCCACCCTGTCCTGGGGCCTCCACCCGCCCCTGGGGGGCCCCCTGGGGCGCCGCCTGGCCCTGCAGGGCTCCCAGGCAGAGAGAGGAGAAGCGAAACTGAGCAGTCACCCCTGGGCTCCCGCCATAGACCCGGCCATGGGGGGCCTCGCCGCGGCGCTGCTGCTCTGTGCGCTGCTCCCCGCGGCCCGCGCCCAC